GATTGATTTCCACGGTCAAGCTGTGTTCGGTGCATAACAAGTCGAGTTCGGGAAAGTCGGCCTGAAAATTAGGATGTGTTGACTTTTAGAAGCAAGAATCAGAGGCTAAACGATGAAAATCACGACCAGATCACCTGCTCGACACGTATTGGAAAGTCGGATTGATTTCGGAAGTATTTGGACCTGAAAGACTGTCTACCATTAAGTAATCATTATTAGCATCATCAAAAGGAAGAAGGTGTGCAAAGAAAAAGATAACGATCTTGTAGAACAGATCTCGGACTGATTTTGTCGAGTACGACGAACACTACTGCCGCAGCTTTCATAAGGAATTCAAACATCGACTACAAAAGTAAAGCGTTCAGCCTTGATCACTATTTTTGGAATGCGTCGCCATGCATTCGAATTCATTCGTGGCATTTTGAATGTGAATGAATGCATATTTAGCCCAAACGATGACTTGCTGGAGCTTAAAGTGTATCATAACATTCTCTGATAAGCTTGGTACCGATTAACTAATGCAGGATGGACGAAGGGAAGAGCGCGAAGGAACGAACCATGGACTGAGTGTGTAATACAAAGCACTGCGAACGAACGCGTTACACACGCTTATTCTATCGAATTACATAAGAGGTAAGTATGCGAAAATTATCACATACCAGTCTATGACATGATTGTCGATAACGAGCAGTACTTTAGCATTCGGTGGCATGGCAGGTGCAGCTCGGCTGCGGTCGTACTGCAGAGAACGTTCAAGTGCAGCTGCAAGTGTTTCCGTAGACCTCGCTGGTGACGTCGGTGCGCTAAAACATCATTTCAATCCTCGTATGGTGCAATAAAATAAAATATTATTTATAAGCACGAAGCAGTAGCGGATAATGCTCAGCGCAGTAATGAAAAAATCTAGTGCTCGTAAAAACATATTGACGTCATTAATCCGTTAGGGACGTCGTGTATGCAAAGATATACCCGATTTTTGAGAGCCTGTCTCACTGCTATGTAGCAACGAAAATATTATTGCATTTCACACTCGGTTTGATTTATTTTCTCGGCTGGGGTTTGTAAACAGATTTTTGTTAGGTTTTTCAAAGTCATTTGATGTTCAAAATCTCGACAATTCTGAAACAATTTTCTGTTTCAGGTCTTCATACGGCGTCATAAGAGAAAAAATAATATTGTGTTTCATACTTGAAGTTTTCTTCGCGAATATAGGACATTTATATACCAAGGCATATGAGCATGTAGAAAAAATCGTAAAGTATCACAACAAAAAAACCTAAAGGTTTTTTCAAAACGTAGATGCATCAAATGAGTAACGAATATTGCGTGCTGTTTGCGAATCGTCTTGAGCGATAATTGAATTGTCGTCCCAAAAGGTAAATCTTTTCTATCAACATTGACAAGTGAGCCCTAAAAGTGATCTAATAGAATTCATTACAGTTTTTCTCAGTTGATTAGATTTATGTATAGAAGCGATTAATTGTTTCGAGACCGACATATGGCAAGGATCGCTAACGTCAGCTTGGAACTCGTGATTACGCAATAATGACGTTTTCTGCACTGAATTTGGTCGTTGAGATAAAACAAACATCAACGTGTTGTCTATTTCTCCAAATTTTTCCACATTTTCAAAAGCTCGACGAGTTCACCATCTTCATGGAAGTGATGAAATGACAATTTTTCGAGAAATTCTCATAAAAACGAAAATAGCACTATCGACTTTTTTCATCATTTCCATCTCAAACGCCTATCTAATGACTTCAGTCAACTTCAGCTCATCGTCAAAAATATTTATTTTCTACTTGTATTTTTTTTTGCATATTTTTACCTAAACAATTTACCGAGAGCTATAATCAGGTGGTAAGTGCTCTTGGGCTTCTAATTTCGTTAAGCTGTCAAGCCGTGTGGCATTCTTCACTCAGCTTTTTTATTCTAATTCAGAATCCTTCTTTTTAAGAATACTGTTCGTAAAAGGATAGAAAACTATCGCGCATTCACTGTTGTTCGCTCACTAAGAGATGTACCCTGTACTCGGCGTTAATCGTAGCATCATAGAGTTGACTAAATGCATGTTGAGGGCCGTGTAATATTTTACAATAGTCTACCCAATGGACAAGTAAGTGTTTTTAGTACTTCAGAAAAATTTGGTGCCAATTTGACGACCATGCATTCATGGTGGTTTTGATTGGTATATCGAAGCATGTATGTAATGTTCAGACGCCTTAATCACTATGTTATGCACGCTCGGATGAATAGGAAATAAGTAAATAATAAGGTTTTGCGAAAATAAAGCTAGGCATAAAAGGATTGGCTTAGTCCTTTGAGAAACTAAAACAATAAAAAAGACATGAACTACCAAGAAAGGGTAATGGTCGCTGCTTTCCGCACTGTTTAATCATTGAGAAATGCACGATAACTCTGACTTCCAAGCATCGTTTTTACGGTGGCTAACCGATCTATAAAGTCAGTGCTGTTATCCTTGTAGACAGGTGTGGTGATAATCTGCCCACTCCGGACGAGTAGATGGCTTGGTAAACTCAGATAGGGCATCAAACCAGAAGCTATGTGTAATGCAGGAGATCTCTATCCACAGCTATATACGTCTTCTAAGATCAGGCTCTGAATACCTCAGCGAGAATTAATCAGTGTGGCGTGTCTAGAAAATTCAAAAAATAGATAAAGTTCGAGAATTACGCGATCAAAAATCTTACAACCTCTCTTAGGAAGTCAGGAATGACAATATTTCGATTACTGTCTTACTTTTCTGATACTTCGAATTGCAACGTTCAATTAGTTCCAAACATCGCTACATCTCTACCCACTGTTTGAATTTATTTCTCATTTGGAAGGCATGTAGAGTATCACTCAGAGTAGTCCTGCAAAACATATGTGATCGTTGGCTTTTTACTCTATCCAGAAGAAAGCCAACCAGCATTTTCCGATCACCACGACGACAAAATAACAGTGTGAGACTTCCGTGAGAGAATAGAACCACCGATTAATTTTACACACGGCGAATTATTTTTTTTTCAATCGTCATATCAACATCATGAAAATTTTTGATAGATTACTTGGAGAAAACTATGTGAAGAGCCTTTTTCTTTGTAAAAGTTTCGGATAGGATGCCATTTCACCATATTGAAAAATTTTAACAGAAAGCTGCCAAGCTTTCATTTTGTCTTGTCACTCTTCGCGCTCATAACAAGAGGAAAACAGAGAAGAATTGATGATTTGCTGAAAAACATCATTCAAAACTAAACACACATGACGATCGAAAAGAAAAATCTCTGAACGGTGGATGGCTTAATGACGAAAGTCATTAGTAGAAAGAAGAGAAAATAGAAAAAAAAAGATAAAAATGTTACAGATGTAAAGCATATTCTAGTAGGATATAGAAGCAGAATAATGCGTAAGTGCTGAGATTTCTATGGGCCTGTCAAAAAGAGCAGAGAAAAAGAAATTAGACAGCCAGATTGTAGTGGAAGGATGTTTCGAAAAATATCATAAAATGAGTGCGAATACTGAATTATTTGCTCAATTAGATGTCTTTGATTGTACAGCACGAATTGCTCTAAATAAAATCTGAGCCGAAAGTTCAACATAGTAAGCATTCTGCCGCTTAAAAGCGATCTATTTGGTGGAAAAATTTTTTTACGTAAACTTTCTTAACAAGAAGCTTAAAAAACAGCTTGTAAAGTAGGGAAGTATGAAGATGAGCTGAAGCTCTTCACAAAACAGCGATGAGACTTCAGCAAGATTTTCCCGTGGGACACAGGGTCCACTCACAGAGAATGCAGCAACATTTGTTAAAACAATAATGCAAACAGATTTTATTTCGAAATTAACTCTTCTCAGAAGACACTCCTTTAGATTTTATGGTCAGGTTAGATTAGGTGGGATGCAGCTGCCTTGATGTAGAACACTTTGTGCAAATATTTTTCGAAATAGAAGGTCAAGACCTATTCGATTTCAGACACAACAAAGCATGAGTGTATGATTAAACTGACACAATGTACGTACATACGGGGATATAATTACTAGTAAGCGAGTTGAATTGATTCTGTTTAGAGCCTACAAACGTGATATTAATAGCTATAGGTGGTACAGAGATCGAGTTTGAAGTTGTCTCCATAAAAGAAAATTTACTAGCTATCCATATCTATCTCCGACCACAAGAAGCTGTCTGTAATAAAACTCTGTAGAAGCAATATTCACAGAAATAAAGCGTTCCAAGCATGGAATAAAGTGGCGCACTTCGTTTCGGTCGATCGGCGCCGCTGATTCTTACTAATCGTATAAGTCACACTACAATATATTGATGTGAAATTGAACGACCTTTGATATTTTCGATCCAATGAGAAAGCTCTTCAAGAGGACGACTCTAATTATACCGCATGAATGGCAATAAGGACACTGCTAGAATATCAATTTCAGCATTTTTCAAGAGACACTGTTAATGGTAGCTGAAAAAGAACGGCAGAAAGGTGACCTATACCAATAGGAAGGCATTTTTTTACATATGATCAAATAGGATGAATCAGAAAATCTCGAATGCCATGTGACCTTGACCAGAGTAGGGATGGAAGCTCACTTGGGCAACAGGCTTGCCAAACTACAATCATCAAAAACAGCATCACATTCATTAGTCGTAAGCAGTTTGCTCTAATTGGACCCTCTGTAGTAATTGGATAAATAACGAAGTTAAACCGGCAGTCACCATTTTATAATGAAGCTATCGGAGAATCAACCATCGCAATTCGAAAGCCATTACAATCTCGAATAAAACAGAAATGCTTGATGTGATTAATATCAATAACAAGAAATAGAAGATAGAAAATGAAAGATTAGGCAGCATTGATTCGCTGGGGATGTGCCATGCATTGGACTCCATTCGTAATATAGCAGAGTTGAATGAATTCATATTAAACCTACTTAGGGACCGGAAGCTCACTGATCTATTAAGTGGGTTATCTAAGAAGATTGAATGGCACGCAAAAATCGACCTCAGGCGGGAGGTGAACCCGCGTTTCACCTTTGCCAGGGGTGCGTGTTACCACTACACCACCAAGGCCGCCGCTTTGAGACCACTCTTCTTTCGACAACTATTGGTTTCGTCGGATAAACACTCCTGGAGACGAATGCTTTGCATGCCAACCACGCTACAAAAACATCACCAATTTACCAAATCAGAAGAGGGATGGAAGACTAGTTTGTCAAGCTCGCCAAGCTGAATCAACGACTGTGCCTCGATTGCGGAACTATGGCGTGCTACGCGTGTCTGTGCAGTAGTAATCAAAAAAAATTATGGACATAAGACACTCAGCAAGATTTAGAGGCAAATCGAATAGAGGTTTGGAAATTCCAAAAGATAAATCGGCGGGAAATTACAGCTAGGCGATTCCTTTCGTGAGCTGATGTAAGGTGAGTGGCACAATGCGCGGAAGGACCAGGTCCTCTTTTGCATCCCGAAAAGAATTAGATATGAATCCTTGCAAAATGAAAATGGCTGGTCGATTAAAAATAATTACAGGATTTACGTCAGTAACTGATTAAGTAAGCCAAGATCAATCAACTGAAGACCAAAAAGTTTTTGATAGAACTGGCTCTGTTAAATATTTGAATCACAAGGTGACGCTTTTTGAAAGTCATATTTATGGAAGAGTAATACCACAGCTAAAATACTATACACTGCCGTGAAATAAAGTTTATTGCAGCAACCTTTAATTTGTAATCTAAATAAAGGAAAAAAATAAATTGTATTTCACATTATAGGCTGATACGAAAATGTTGCTGGTAACAAATTATTAAGAGATTCAGGATTGGCTTTTTTTCTTCATTTTTATTCGAAATTATCGAAAACGCTTCTTAATCAGTGACTGCACCATTTTGAATGCAATAAGGCCTCCGTTTAGTGGGCTACTTCTATAAATAGAAAATTCCAAATAAAAAAGTGTTTTTCTTATAAAAAAAATTTGTGGCAAGCTAAAACAGTCAAAAGAGAATTGAAATCTGCACGTTGCGGGCATTCATATGAAGCCCACATATTTACCAACCTTGCCTTTCTGTTAACCTTTACATTATCCAATTAGTTACATCATATTTAATAAGGTGAACGAAGTCATTAACCCTGCATCAAATGTCTGAGGCGTGAGCCAATAACGAAGTAGGCGAAACCGCCGAAACGGTATGTATGGCTCTGACGTAATAACCGCAAAAAAGCTCTAAATATTCTCACAAACTATATTGAATGTCTGAGGCGAGGTTTAAAAAAACAGCCGATGAGATGGATTGCTAGATCAATTCGATAATGGCTAGTTTTTCGGGAGTTTTGCTTTGTTCTCGGGAAGAAGGATTGCGTAATCAGTTATGGTTTTTGTAACCCGCAGTAGCTTGATCTCATAGGATTCCAGTAAAAAATCCATGTCTCTTTTTTCTTTCTAATATTTTTTGAAAGAAATCACTATAAGTGAAACGTATCGAATCCAACATGCTCCGGGGAAATTCCTTCATCAAATCTGCTCATTGAAATCAGTGCGCGCAAATATGATAAAGTTAGAACCGGCTGCATTTGAGTCTTAATCCGGTAGTTGATGTAAATGAATAGATAATATGTACGTTTTCTTTTGAATTTTCTGTTTTTTCTAAAGAGCTGGCATTAATACTTTGCATCCTTTTTGAGAAGGCAAAAGAATTTTTGAAAACTTTTTTGTTTTTACAACTCGCAATAAGGGCTGATATAATTGAGTGAGTGAAGTAAATTAGACAAAGCGAGAGGATATTTTTGTCGGGTAGCATTCTGTTGGGAAAAGAAGTTAGATACAAAGGCTTCACTCTTATTTGGAGAGGAGAGGTCGCATAGACGGAAATGAGATACAAAAAAAATATACGCATGCGTTTTTTTATCCTTGCGATGCGTCAGTATACACTCAACATTCAACAAAAGCTCAGCATTCTCTCCCAAGTGGTGCTTCTTATTTTCACTTAGCTTTGGAGCAGTTCGATAGAAATAAAAAACCTCTCGAGTTCAAAGTAAATTTCTTCTTAATAATTCGTACCCGAAATAATCGATGCTAAAGGAAAAGTACTAAGGAAGTGTCATTGTTTACAGAACTCATTTCACCAATTTCCACTCATGATAGAGTCTTTAATTAATTTGTGAAGTTCACTGAATTACTATGGGTAGAGGAATGTAACGACGAAATCTGCACACAAAAAAGACAACGTAAGAGTTCTACCAATTCAATTTTACACATTTCTTACGCTGTCAACGATTATGAAATTAAAGTTTGAATAAAAAGATTGAGCTCTATGTCAGTAACATTTACTATAAAGAACTTTTCCTAATTTAGTTTTCATTGCAGTTTGTGATTAGCAAGGCAAACCTAGAGAGAAACTCACTCACCTTATGGTATTAGAAACTTTGTTAGCGATGGCTTGTAATGAGAAAGCGCTGGGTGGACCAGCGTTTGATGGCTCTTCAAGCGCCGTGTCACCTTCATCATCATGGAATGAGAATTTTCGTTTAAAGAAGTTCATTCTGAAAGGGATACTGTTGAAGAAGTAGAATACGATAAAAGATATTGCTTAGATCACGATCAAAGGAAAGTATATGACGTGAATGGAATCGGGAGTTGTATTAGGAAAGGGCACTGAAAGATCCATACCGAACATAAAGATAAAAAGTCCATTTTGATTCGCTTTATATAGTTTGTATGAAGCTATCTGATTCGTTTGCGTGCCTTGGCCACTCCCCGATGTTTTTTTTATGCCGATTGATAATGGCTGTTGGAAGAGGTATAACGTATAATTCTTCAGTCCAGAATAGAGTGCTCGATAGATGCTCTGCATGAAAAAGAAGAATGACGAGACTCCGAATAGCTATGGTTTACGGAGAAGCTGGAAAAGGATGACTGAGATCCATACAGAAAATATAAGTTTTCGATCTTACTCCTTTCTAATGTGTGTAACATTATGCTTTTCTGCTCAGCAGGTACTCTTGTTATTGTCATCGTGAGTAAGGAAATGGCTGGAGAAAACGAGGAAATTTTGTCAAAATTGAACTCAACTTCATAACACTGTGGAAAAACAGAAAAACCCCAGGATTTTCAAGAATATATGTCACAATGGCTGTCAGCTCATCTGGATTTATAAAGAGAAATCGCATCCGCGACCAAATCTGTTAAAAGTGGGTGGCTGATAGCCATCATAGAGACAGTGAAGAATGAGTGCTGGTACAAATGTGCCTCTCTGGTGTAGTGATAGCACGCGTCCCCGGTATGGATGAGCGCGGGTTCGACTCCTATGAGGTCGTGTTTTTGCTCGCTATTCAGTTCTTTTAGATTATATATATATATATATATATATATATATATATATATATATATATATATATATATATATATATATATATATATATATATATATATATATAACCAAGAGCTCTGTTAGTACATTTGACAATTTCATATGAAAAACACAGCGGCATGACATTGGTGTGAATGTCGATATGTGTTGATTAAAGCATCTTCTTTTTGCAGATAATTCTTCTTATAACAGCAAGCAATGAGCGGGCAGAATGAACGCAGGCCGATTTGGACAGCTTATGTGAGAATGTTTAATCACAATTGAACATCAGACTCTTTTAGTAGGACTAAGGCAGCTGCATGGAGACCTCAAAACAAATTTATTATGTAATGAAAAAAGGAGGAGACTTCGGCTTTGCTTCCATATTGTCGCGTTTAACTTCCGTAATGGCGCCACTTTTCGTCCTAAAGTACGTTGGAAGAAGTTAACGAGAGGGTGGTACTAGATGCATTCTATATCGGCAGGTGATGGCAAAAGAGAATCCAAAATTTCGATCTTATCAAAGACTCTGTCACATGCAACGATATTTCGTGAAATGAACAGGTCAAACATTCGGTGTGTCATGTAACAACGGTGAAGAAGAGCCGTTAGTGATTGAGCTGAACATGTCAATCGCTCAACAGTTGACCGTCGATTAGATTGTTACTGATAAAACCTGCTCATGAGAGTTATTTACAAAGTTCATGCTATCGCACGCTCTATGAAGTTGTATTCCTGGAAGAATCACAGAACTAGAAGGAATTACTCTGTAGCCCGAAGAAATGCATTTGTGGTAGTTTTCACTCGTCCCTCCAATGTACATCATAAGAGAGAGGATGCGTCATAGAATAAGATGGAGCGATAAGTGGGTGGCAAAGCCAACAACGTTTCTTGATGAATGACACTCTCATCACCATAGGAAATGAGTTTCACCGTTTCTATAACAAATGGCATTGAGCGCGAGAAGATGGTGAATTCTTCCAAGTCTAAAAGACTACTTCTTATTTACTTCTGGATCGATCATTCTAGTCAGTGAGACTTGGGATAGTTTTCTCACATCAACAATACCTATACGTTGCGCTAATGAATCAGAATCTTTCATCTTTACTATAAGTACTTGAGTACTTAATTGAATGAGTCACTCATTGGTCAAGTAGGTTCTAGAACAATGTTTGTATACCTGCCATTTTACTAATTTAGTCCGTTTTTTCATCTAGAGCAGCTCACCCGAGAAGTTTATAAATGGTCATCACAAAAATACGATTTATTCTCAACATTGATAGCCCTGAAAAGATGAATGTCAACTGTACATCACTCTTCGGAATTGAAGCTTTTGCTCCTTATAGAGAGATGGTCAATGGCAGGCACTTGAAGGATAAAGCACGAGACGTTGATCACCCCTTTGGGATACGCCATATAATCAGCTCCATTCGTAGCATTGTAGAAATGACTGGTGTTCTGATCTATAAAGTTATATTCGGAGACCAAGCTATATATTCAGATGCATCGAGTCTGCTCATTGTCCTCACAAAAAATTTTAGCACGGATTCGCCAAGGTCAGAAGGACGCTTAGCTGGCTCAAGGAGTGGGGTTGAACGGTCACGCACACATTGTAGGCCACCTCTAATCAGTGAGCTATGAAAACAGAGTACATTTATGGAATTTTAGTACCAGAATACCTATCTACCATAGCCATTTCAATCAAGTATCCTTACACGGTTCCATGCA